CCACCACCAGCCGCTCTTCATCCTCCTTCTCTCCCTCGGCGGCTTCCAGGCGCTTCGGGAACGCTGGGAACTCAACGCCATCCACAGTCTCATTGTCGCAGAAGTACACGAATGCAGGCGCTGCCTTTCCGCCTTCCTTGGGCGTGGGAGTAAGATTCCAGGTATCTTCCGAGGGTATCACGCCAAATTTGCCATTGTTGGCTTTCTTCGCATCAGCTGCGACATTGACGTACTTCGAACCAAGCATGCGCTGGGCCTCTTGCGAGGCCTTTAGCGACCATGAACCAGTGACGATATAGTCCAACTTCAGGTTCTCGTCGATCTCTTTCTGGACTTCGGCGATGATTTCAGTCTCATTTTCCTCTCCGAGTGAAGCAGCATACTTGCGTCGCCTCCGCTCAATCCACACACTGACGAGGTTCTGCACGACAGCACTGAATTGGCCGGTGCCACCACCTTGCATGAACAGTATCTCATAGTTGTCGGGAATATTCAGCAGCTTCGTCAAGTTGGCTTTCGTGTCGGCCAGGATCTGGTTCGCAGTCGGTGAACGATGGGACACTTCTCCAAGACCGAGACCAAGGCCTTGATGGTTGACCAGAGACGCAGCGGTGGCCTCAAGCACGTCAGTTGGAAGGGCAGCGGGCCCCGCACCAAAATAGGAGACTTCAGAGCGTTCAGGCATTGTAGACTTGTATGTTTGCAGACGGCCTTTACGTAGAAATTGCACCAAGTCGAGACACAGATGTAGATGGCAAAATGAAGGTGGAAGTGACGCAGAGTACTGGTTACGCGGCGATAATATACAAAAGACACCTTGATATAGCGGGGGGGAATGACTCAACAAAATGATTTCGACATCGTCGTTAACGTCCCGCAAGCTACGGGGCGCATGCGATACGAGTCAAAGAAAAAAAAAGACCCCGCCTCGGACGTAGATTAAGGAGGGGCAGCAGCAAAAAGTAATTGCGTCGACCGGGACTCGAACCCGGGTCACGACATTGGGAATGTCGTATCTTACCCTTAGACTATCAACGCTTTTTCTTGCTTACGTTAAGCCGCATTTGTTTATGTAGGAACGTTTAATGTACAGAAGTAGAAAACTCCGAGACGGGGAATCGAACCCCGGTCTCCCGCGCTTGTTCCTTCACGGTGACAAGCGGAAATCATGACCACTAGACCATCTCGGA